AAAGTGTGTGCAGAGCACCTGGGTGGTCCTTCCATCGTTCTGCTCTGTGTTTTCCTGCGTACCAGCAACACCACAGTGACGTGTTACTCTGCGCTAGCCTGGTTTCTCTCACTGCCCACATGCAGCTAAGATCCACTTCAGTTTCTCAGCCCCCGACGTTAGAAATGGAAAACGCCTGGATCCTTTTATCCACCAAAAGAGTGAGAGAAGAAGGAAATGCAGTTCCAGGATTGTCACTCACGCTCTTGCAGCTGCTCTCCTTTTAAAAGTGAAGCCGAGGTTTCAGGCTGAACTTGATTTTCAGCACATCTCAGTGCCCAGACAGCTGTCATATGAATGACATGTTTTACATCCAACACAATTTGTAGGTTTTCATCAGCTTAAAATAACTCATAAAGGCTCTGTTTTTTTTGAGGGGTGGGGGGTTGTTTAATTTGGAGATCTCACCTCTGGCATTATGTTGGGTTGATATGATATTGCATCAGAACTATTCCCATGGGATTGCAATGCAGCAGAAGAGAGGAACAAAAGCAAATAAATTACAAAAAAAGATAAATGTAGAAGCGGTTAGAGAGACTTGAGGAGAGAAAGAAAAACAGAAAGAGAAAGAGAGGAGATTTGTAGGGAGAGAAAGGGCAGTGGGCCAGCAGAGTCAGAGATAAGAGGCTGCAAGAGTGATTGAAATAGGATTAGTGGAGACAGGCGCTGAATCCTGGCCACAGCATCAGTGTTAAACCTGCGCTTCACAGGGACTCCCTCTGTCACATCAAAGCCACCCCAGGCCTGGCTGGCAGAGAGGCGAAGGAGCCTCCAGCAGGGTTGTTCACATCTACACACGCATCTCATATATGATCACCTCGTCCGTCTATATCAGCATGTCTTCTTCAGCTGGCTGGAGCAGGGTCCTTGCTGCTAGGCCTTTTCATCTCCCTGCAGCATCTTTGTGGTGTCTTTTTTTTTTTTTTTCTCTGGGACAGAAGATAGTGTGCATTGATGAGCCATCTTTAACATTTAATGAGGCTAGCAGTGATGATTTGGCATCAACAAGCTACTGTCTCCTGCTTCTGCAGAGTCCAAACAAAGTTTTAATGAGAACTTTTCCCCCAATTTATGCCAAAAGCGTTGAGCTTTTTAACTACTTCCCAGACTGAAAGCACACATTTCTCTAAAGTGTAGAGTGGGAATACACCTGTGTGTGAAGCATTAGAGAAAAAATAGTCAGTATCAGTACACCAGACTATCAATGAATTGCTGATTGGATTGTTATATTTTGGACACACACTTGGCTGTTTTTCACTCTTTGGAAAGATATTGCACTGCAGTTTGTGTGTCATCATTTCATACCATTCAGTTTTGCTTTGCCTATGAAGACGTTGATTGTACATACATATATCAATTTAAATTGGTGATTTCCTCTGATTTAAATCCGGATGAGAGCCATTTCTTACTTGTGTTAAACTTTATTAAAAGCTCATAATTAATGATTAATGTGCACATATTTTGTCCATAAAGTAGGGTTTTCTTTCTGACCTAATGCAGATTTAAAATAATTTTTTAAAAGTTGTCCTTTACTTGTAATGTGAAACCCAATCACTTCTATTTCACATTATGTTTCTCATCGTTTCTTCTTGATGTTGAAGTTCTTTTCAAGACCCTCATCTTGTGCTAATCTGGCTGGTCATTTTTTAAAATAAAAATAATTTACTCTTTTATAGAAAATATGGACATTTAATTTTATTTCTTCAGTCACAGAGCACATATAAAACTGAGCTACATGTATCAGAAAATGGAAAAAAAATAAAACTAGCACAGTATGAGGAGCTAATAAACAAGAACTGTTTATTAGCATCAACATGTAGGTTTCAAAGCATGGAAGGATTCTAGCAGTCAGTATTCTCGTGCATCAAGCCTGATTCAGAGATAAACAGGCCAATAGCAATATTATCAAAGGTGTTTTAGCCACTTAAAAATATCAAATCATTCTATCCTGGTTTCTCTTTAAAATCTTCTTTAATGGGTTTGGAGTATTTAATTTGTCCATGATGTTTGTGACATTCTTTACTTGTAACAATTTCTCAATTGTATCTCAGAAAGAGTCTGACTCCCAGCAGTCACTACTCAAGCTCTGATTGTTCTCTAATCAAATGAACACTCCTTGCTCTGTGTTCATTCTGTGTACTTATGCTTGAGAGTATATCAGTATGATCAAATACTGCACCTTGGGCCTTTTCTGTTGAAGTAGATTATGGATCCCTATAGCTAAAATGGCCTATTTTATCTGCTGAGGGGAGACAATGCGCTGATTGGTGAGTACTCATTGTGTATGCGTGCCAGTTTATTTCTGTGTTAGTGCATGTACATGCGTGAGCTGGTAGTTTTCCTCTTGGAGCTCATCAGTTCATATCCACCACCCATCCCACCGCAGCATGCAGTAAATAGAGTCTCTGGCACTCGTTGAGAAATGGCACAATTATCCCCTGCTGGTGAAATATGGGCCGGGATGCACCACTGTGTCTTCCCTACAGAATGCGTGCGTGTGTGCCTGTGTGTGGGTGTGTTTGTGTGTGTGTGTGTAGTGCCTGCTCTTTCTCTCTTCATTCATTGTGATGTGTATTCAACACACAAAGAACTGCTTGACTCTCACGCCAAATGCGCAAATGTAATTGTATAAACAGCTACACACACAGCCACACACGGAACGCCAGCGCTCACACTGAAGGATGTACATCTGTGTGCACAAAAGAAGTTTAGGCACACACTTTCTTTTCACACTCCAAACAATGCAGCATGTTGCACTGTTGAGATGACACAGGAAAATAGAATAACTGACTGTCATTCAATTCATGTTTAAAATTTTTTTGTTGCACACAGAGACCTGGGATGAATATTTATGCTTCTAGAGCTAGTTAAATTTTGAAATGTTCCCCTCCCTCCTTTATTTAATCTTCAGCAAAAGTAAATGTTAGTTTGTAATATTTCGGAGTAAGGAAAAAGGACGTGAACACCATGCAAACCTTTCCACACATTAAGAGAGCTCTCATGGTTTCTACTAGACCTTAATTAGCTTGTCAGGTCTCTGACTTGTACACATTTATCCTCGGGAAAGGTCAGCTGATGCAAATCTTTTAAGCTTTGGAGATTCGCTTACACATCAAACCTTTGCCCAACAATTGGTGGCCAAAGACTCCGTTAAGCAGATTAGTACTGTAAAGAAAATGATTAAATTCAGTTTTTTTTAGATGAACTTTGAACGCTTGTGGAATCTGAATTGGAAACTGAAACTTTCAGGTCCATTAAAAAGCCTTGCGAAAGTTTTCACACCCTTTAACTTTTTCACTTTTTGTCATCAAAGTACTGCAGAATTGTGACAATTTAAAGAGACATGTTGTGGCCTCTTTTTCAATTCTTGTAAATTATAAGAATTGATTGTTCTTTAGATACTCAAGAATATAACTAAGCTACTTTGGTATGCAATTAATTTTTATATTTGAAAATGTTGCAAACAATTTGGCAATTGCTTTAGGTCATTCCAAATGGCAGAAATTAAGATCACACCATGTTTTGACGAATGTCGGGTTGGATGATGGAAAATTTTAAAATGCTTTTTTACCATGTTTTGAACTTTTTGGGAACCGATTAAGTTAACTTTTTACTTTGTCTGAATTCTAAGAAATAATTGGTTAATGTTGGTCTATATTTTTAAAATAAATTGTCATATATAATTTCCAAAAGATCAAGTTGGAATCCAGGTAGAAACAAACTATCCGTCACTGTTGGATCATTTTTGTTTTTGAGCATAAAAGATGTGACATGTTTCAAAAAGTCTAGAAAATGTGGCCTTCATATGTTTCCAGTTCTCTCTTAGTATTTTGTTGAACCACCATTATTTAACTGCCTTATACTTTAAATTTTATGCAAATACGTTATATTTACAAATTAATTTTCCGGGCTAGATACAAATTCCTGCAACAATTTTTGCACCACTTTAACTCCCACTTCAACAAATCTGTTGCGTTTGCAACATTTGAAGAAGGCTGCAAGGCATGAATGCTTTTGTGATATAATTTAAAAAAAAAAAATTGGTCAATTTCACATCCTGCTTCATTGGACAGTTTTACGTACAGTAGAACATTATCTGTTGAGCTCTTTTGTTAACCTTTGTTGCTTTAAAGATGTTTAAGTGGAGTTGCATTCTGGTTGACTGTTCACGCTCTCTCAAGCAGTCAGAAGTGTTGTTCTCCTGGAGTAAACAGACAGGATTTTACTGAAGGTAATATTGACTGGACCTCATTTTATTTTAAGAAGTAAAATGATGACGAGCTTTGGCCTTGACTGTTGTCCTAATGTCATTTAGGAGCTTTCGTCAAATAATAAATCAGTTCTTACAGATCCAACTTTTGGAGTCCAAGAATTTTACATATCACCTTTAGAGCTTGACTCATGTCTGTGTTTGAAGTTGCTTACTGGACATCTACTTTTTTCTCTTTGCTTCCTCAGTGGTTGTTAAGGTTTGCTGTCCGATCCAACAGACTGTTTGCCTGACCTCAAAGAAACTTAACTGACAGAAACCTTAAAATAACACTCATAATTCCCCTTTCGTTTGCTCTGTTGCTTGATGTGTTTTACAGCTTTAATATTTAAAGAACATTAGTCTGAATTAAATGTACTCTATACACTATGCAAACACAGAAAAGGCCATTTGCAGCATTTGTGTTCTGTCAGACCTTTTGAAATTGTCCGATGGCTCTCTGAAATGTCAGAGGCTTGCTCAGTCATTTGAAGTCAGTCATACACATAACGCTATTAACCTCGAGTGATTTCTCTTTCCAATGGCTTTTGACACTTGTACGGCTCTGAAAATTGCTTGTTGCACTTAAATGGCAGATAATATGAAAAATAAGACATGACTGTGACCACAGGCTGATGATTTGAATAAACTGCTCAAACATTTCAGTGTCATGAGGTTTAGAAAGCTGACCGCTCTCTCTCTGTCTCTACAGGTATGGAAAAATAGTGTCAACCAAAGCCATTCTCGATAAGAACACTAACCAGTGCAAAGGTAAGTTCTTATTTTCTTTGTTTCATTGAGTATGCCATCAGTCTTTAGGGAGCAATATGTGCCTGTGTATAGATTGAAATTGAGCCAAGGAGTCTGCAAGCTGTAACTCAGTGATTTAGGGAGCCGCTGACTTGCCACTGCGGGAAGAATTCATGAAAACCACCTTATCTTGGTTGATGCTACGCTGCTTTACAGGCAGCAGTGCCCCGAGGCCCTCCATTTGTACTTTTTTATTTCTTTTTTTTTTTTTTAAATAACTGGATATAGTTTCTTGAGTAATTTGAGCGCTAAGAGGCTGGATGGGACTAGATAAACCTCGGTTAATATTTCTGTCACCCTCATCATCTTAGTGTCTTTGCTACAGGGCGTGAACGGCTGCAGATAACACAGTTTACATGTGTTAAGGCAGTTACTTGTTAATGCTAAAGATCAGCAAAGATTTAAGCGGAGAAGCTGTAAAATACTAGAAATTAGAAGAATGAGATAAAGAAAAATAGCATGGTGCTTGCCTTAAGGTGTCTAGCAGCACTGTTAAAGAGCTATTGAAGTTTCATCAATACTTTTAATTGCTTTTTGTGGTTTCCCAGTCTCTGAAGCCTGGCTTTTCAAGGTGATGCTGTCTTCTTAGCCATACAGCACATTTGACGTTATCCCACCAGGCAATTCTCAGGGTCAATACTCCAGTATTTAGTGGATAAAATAAAGTTTGATCATCTTGACAGGTTCTGCTCGATAATAAAGACAACACAATGAACGCCTGCTGGTAGGAAAAATATGTGTGTAGAATTCAGATTAAAGGGGATTATAGTAAAGAGCAGTGCTATAAAACAAGGTGATAAACCGCTTTGAAATTCTGTCTGACAAATCTGAAGAAATGAAATGTTTACAACTCCCTTTGCCCTCCTAACCGGAGTTATGCACAGGACACAATATAAAAAATAAAAAAAATCCGACTAGTTTAGCACTTTGTTGTGTGGGATACAACATTTGCCACAACTCACCCTCCTGGTATGTAACACTACTGAGATGCCAAGAGGCAAACATAAGCAAGCATATTTTATGAGTGGAAAGAGGGTGGCGGATCGACACGAGACTTGTAGGAAGAGTACAAAAAAAAAATAATAATGTGAGATGAAGGATTTGGCAGGCTTGAAAGGAAAACTCAATTCTTAAATTGAAAAACAATTTTATGTAATGGAAAACTTCACAAAGCGATCTATTTCATTATTTATCCCAAAAAGCTCGTTAAAAGGTCAAGCTTTTTTAGTCAGAAAAAAAAACAAAAAAACAGTCCCAGTAGTTAAATCAAATTTAAACCGTTAGCGATGCTCGGGAGTGAGCCGTGGTCCTGTGCACTCAGGGTCACGATCAGATTTGCTAGGCGCAGGGGGAGCCCAAAATCGGTCCTCAAGGGCCGGCATCCTGCATGTTTTCGTTCTCTCCCTGGTGGTAGTAACAACCTTTTCAGCAAGTCAATGTTCTTTTTGGCCTTTTAATGACCCATCATTTGGTCCAAGTGCGTTAAACCAGGAAGAGAACTAAAACATGCAGAATGCCGGTCCTCGAGGACCGACTTTGGACACCTTTGTGCTGGGGTGAGGACAATCTGAATCATGTCCAGTGCATAAGTTGTTTTTTATGTCTCTCTTCGTGTCTATTAATTACTTGCTTGTGTTTTTTTTTCTTTTGTAGAAATATGTGAATGTCAAAGTAAATGGTTGTTTGAAGGAAAGTTTTTCAATTAATATTTTTGAAACAAAAGCAAATTTTCAGATCATCCTCATCTGCTGAACCTTGACAGCTGTTTAAGCCTCAATAGTGTTAACTAACCACCACATCTCTTCCCTCTGTCGTTTCAGTCTTGTGTGTTTCTGTGGTTCAACTGAACGAGTTTTGCCTTTACAATTAAAAATTTACACAACCTCCTCATAAAGAAGGAACATTTTATGTACTTATTTTTACACGCAACATTGGCAGTATTACCAGGGCAGGTCTTGGCACAGCCATAGCACACGTTTTATGCAGTTGCTGTGGGAAATTTTGCTATTCTCACAAATTTTCAAAATTTTTACTGAGGTTTTCCTTTTATGTCTTGGTGCTCAGGATTTCTTACCTCATTAGTCACATTATTAGTAGCTCAGTGTGCAGCGTATGTTATGCTGTACATGCACTACATTTTAACTCTTTTTACAGTCGTCCATGGACAAAGAATGTTTTTGCAAACATTTCTGTCACGTTTGGTCTTTTATGGTCTGATAAACTTGAATAAGAATGACAATTTTTTCTTTGATATAAGCTAAGAGGTTTAAAAAATATATATATCAAACATCACTAATGTAAACACAAAAGCAACAGCTATTGCAAATATATAAAAACATTTCTTCATTAGTATAACAGCTAATACTTAGAGATATTTATTTGACGTTGGTTTAATTTGGATGCATATATGTGTTGACAAAAAATTTGTCAAACATCTTACACTTTTATGAAATTGTTTTACTCAGTAAAATATCCCCCACACCTCACATAAGTCTAAACTGCAAAAAATGGAGAAAAGATGTACGCTTTCATGTTGTTTATACCAAATTTTTAACCTAAGATCTGAGTATCAAAGCTGAAACTAAGAATCACTGGATCAAGCAACATGTTTCCAAGATGCTATTGTCCAATTTTGATTAAACTGTATGAATTGTAACGTCTAACTCCTGTTCTTGGTTGACATAAGTGGCACGCTTTGTGGTCTGCTTCAACATTCGATCTGTTGTGAGTTCACAGATGATATTCTGCATACCTTTGTTGCAACAAGTACAGCTGCATTTTTCTTTCTACCACTTCAAACCAGTCTGCTTACTCTCTTCTGAACTCTTATATAAGCATGGTAGTTTGTACACATGGCTGTAAAGCTGGATACTTTACCTTCAACATAAAATTCTCTGTAAAACTTGAGAGATGGTTGTGGGTGAAAATGCAAGTAGATGAGCCCTCTCTTAACTATTCAGAGCAGCCTGTCTGGCAACAACAATCATGCTCCTTTAAAGTTACATAAATCTCCTTTCTTAACCCGTTCTGATTCCCAGACTGAACTCTATCAAGTATTCTTCACCATGTGTAAATTATTTCAGTTGCTGCCATGTAATTGGCTCATTTGCTATTTGCAATATCAAATGATTAGAGGCATTTTCTAATTAGCTGTACCTAATAAAGCTTATTTCCTCTATATGAGCATTTTAAGGTTGTGTTATAGTGGAACCTTTGTGTTTTGCCAGTAAAAAAGGCTATAAAAGAGAAATAAACCGAACAATAAAGATGGAAGAAAGGATACTGGGTGAGATGTTTGGTGGAATCATAGGAGTGGGAGTGTTTCAGAAAAAAAAAAAAAAAGAGTGTCGATGCTTTCTGTGCTTACAGGTCAGGTGTATTCCAAAGCACAAACAAACCATGACAAATACCCACGCAGTAACATGAACATGCATTCCTCTTTCCTCTACCATGCATCTGACTGCTACGTTTGGCCTTCAGTAGCTGTAGAAGTACTGTAAAGCCCTGTTTGAAGTACCACATCTCAAAACTACACTCCAAGACCATGTAATACAACTCTCCCACGCACTCCAACACAAAGGGCACACTCGCAAAGATTAATCGTACCCCCACACGCACTCCCCGTCCATCTGCCCGAGGTGTGTTCTGCTCTTGCAGCAACAGTGGCCATGCAATAGATCTATCACTCTTCCTCCTAACATCCCAGCATGTGAGCCTGTCTGCCTGCTCCGGCTGCTCTCCTCCACCGCATCACGCAGGCCCTTCATTGAGTCTCTCTATCTTGCCAGTTCTGACTCACCCGCTCACTGCTGCGTTACTTTATTGCACACATACACACACGCGGCACCACGCATGCACACGCACACAATATCAGTTGCATGTGAACAGTGCATTCCTACTACACACATGTGCTTTGGATGTTTCCCAGTTCAGAGAAAAACAGGAAGTTATGAAAGGGCTTTGGGGCTGTAGAGGGCTGTGGATGAGAGGAACCATTCAGCTCTTAATTTCACACTGTTGCTCTCATGCTCCTCTGCAGCCTTGCACATCTCATCTTTGCCTGTTTTTACCTACTCCCTCTCATGGTCTATCATCTGCATATCTGCCCCTGCACTTTTACACCTACTTAAAAAAAAATACAACCCTGATTTGAGGTTTGCATCAAAGACAAAGCAGGGGGCTGAAAATGGTGAGGGGAGTCGGAAAAAGGGAATGAATTGCGACAACACAAAAGTGCTCATTTGCCATCCGTGCCCACAAGGGCCCTCTTAAATGGCGGCGTCGGCATTTGAAATAAAGCAGGCCCAACCAAATGAAGACATTTTATTTTTTTCTGTCAGAGCCTCGAGGCACAGGAAATGACCTCAGCCCTTTGAAGGACCCTTATTTTCCTCCTCCTCCATCACTGGAAGATAAAAGCGTGGAGTTTCACTGGCCGGACTGACACTCCGCCGTTACAGCGCCCACCACCACCAATGCAGTGAATAGTGGGGGACAGATGAGATGAGGAGATATTCCCTTGTCTGCGTGTTCTGTAGTGTGTTCTTCATTTCTTTGCCCTGGAACTTCTTGTCCATTTTATACGAGGATGCTAAAAACTCTCAAGGACATTGTATAAAAGTACATCTTGAAGGAATTATTGTTACATTTGCTCTGCAACGTACTGACAGCCTGTAAAATTCTGATCAGTATATGGAGAAACTTTAATGTTTGAGTGAATACTATGACACAAATTTATATGTTTTCAAATCAAAAAGTAATTGCATGGTGTTTTCTTTCCCCCCGTTTGGGATATTAATCCAGATTGGTCTTATTTGAAAGTACATGATGCCTCTTTACTTCACCTTAAAAGGCTCTGAGGAGTTTGACTGTTGAAACTTGAAGACCCCCTGCCTCACCCAAGGATCAGTCTGATGGACAAAGTCACATTCTGTAAAACAGATTTATTGCAGTATAAGTGG